GTATCGGGACACCCCTAATTCTGACTAGTATAAATAACATTAGATTTATCACTAGGTTGTATGGAGACTCCAGTTCAAGATATCTTAAATGTATCTTTAGATATGAAATTCACTATATAAGATTTAATTAATGCAAATTTCAGACTTTTTCATGTTCTGTAAATTGTATTTAAAATAAAGCTGCTGCTGTTGATCATTCTGTTTTTATAAGCAGCCCTCCTAAGACAAATACGGGAAACACTGGTAAGGTCTAAAAAAAATTTATTGAAGATGTTTTTGATAATAGAATTGACTGACAACCATGTCAATATTTTTGTAGTACATGAAATACCAATTTCCTAGGGGAAACACAGCTTGTTAGCAATAATAGCATTTTATTCCACCATAAAGGGTAATAAAAGGTTAAAGTCATTAAGGAAACTGAAGCTCTTTGTTGGATTTAGTGCCTTTAATGTCAGCCGTTACCACAAACCAATGAGGAAACGCTTGTTGTCATTTACACTTCTGAAACTGGTTGAAGATGGAATTTTTGTGTGAAGGTAAAATAACCATCAATGAAAGTGGAAGGTCAGTGATGACGCTATTTTCCTGGTTTACGGAGCATAACAATGTGCAATACTGTTTGTTTTTGTGGGTTTAACAGCTGAAGACTGCCATTTTAACTGGTTGGTTATGGAGGTCTTTATGATCATTTTTAAAGGGTACTGATTTTTTTTTGTGTATGTGTGTGTGTGTCAGTAAAAGTCCGTTCTGACATTTGTTCTGTGGTTTTGACAAAGAGGAGTGAGAAAGAGATGCCCTTAATATTCATGTGTTCACTCCTCAAGCATGTTTTACATCTGTGAACGTCACTTTGACATGTTGTGAAAGTCATAGTGAACTTTGTGTTTGAAGCTTTGGCCTTTTTTTCTAAAGCTCACTTTTTTCTGATGGATGTTCAAGTTCTGACATGTTGATTCTGTCCAGTTTTACATGATCTGTAACATAAAACAAATGTAATGAAAAAGTCAAGTAGGCCCTCTAGACAGGTCCAAAGAAGAACCTGTCCAGAGGACCTACTCAACTATTTTTTTTTTTTTTTTAGATTTTTCTACCTGGATTATTGAGATGCATCAGGACATAAAACAAATCATGTTTCTGTTGGATTCATTCAGAATAAATGAGTTTTTTTACACAAAGTTCTCGATTGTGAGTTGTTTTTGCAGAATTATGACGGTTATAAAAATATAATTGGAAATCTTTAACTTAACTCTAACATCAACCTTAAGTTGACTTAAAACCTTTTAAACAAAATAAATCGTAGTTTTTGAGCATAAAAACTTCTTTTAGTAGATAAATAAATACAAGGATCTGTCAGTGTAGTGCCTGTGTGTTTAAAATGTATTTCTATGATGTTTGGGCTCGTTGTCTTGCTGAAATGTCCAGCCAYGTTTCATCTTCATCATCCTGGTAGATGGAAGCAGATTTTTATCAAGAATGTCTCTGTACATTTTTCCACTCATCCTTCCTTCAATTATTTGAAG